CTGTTCCTAGTCCTCGTGCCGGCTGCAGGGCAGACTCGGGCCTCACGGCCGAAACCACCCCCGCGATGGCACGAGCGTCTCCAGCGGACACCTGCGGCTATCATTTCCCTGCCCAGCGCCTCGCCGTGCGCCACGAAGCGCAAGGCCCGTGGGCGGCCCGTGCATGCCGGAGAGATCACGCCCCCCCTTCTGTCCGCCTGGCGGGACGGCGCACATCGCGCACGAGTGCCACGCGGCCTCGCCAACAAGTGCCTGGCCCGCTCGGGCTGGCAGACCCAGAGAGGAAGGGGGAGGTCTGGGGGAGGAGGGGGAGGGGGAGAAGAGGGGGAGGCGGAGGTACCCTGCTTCGGCCCCGCTGCGAGACTTGGAGCGCTGCCAGCCGCCTCCTCGCGGCAGACGTTTTTCAAACCCCCTCTGTTGGACAGCGCCACACTGGGGACTGCCAACAGAACCCGCGGGAGTGGCAACCCGTCCTTCTTGGCTCGCGAGTGTTGCAGACTGTATCCGACGCAGCCTTCGCATGTGCTGCCGCAGGCTGGTTCTTTGTGATAGGGCATCCTAGCAATTAAGCATGACTTCTCGTTCTTGCATCCGGTGTGGGGCTTGCCAGAGATATGCGCTGTCCTCGGATTTGCTGGAGAGGGTCTGTGCAGGTCGTCGGGTGCGCGCCACATAGGTCAGCGCATCAGCGCATGTGTGGCGCCATCCTCGAAGCCAACAACGCTGCATACGATTAGTGCTGAGCCCGTTCACACAAAAGGTAAATGTATCCACCGCTCTCGTGCAAGTTTGTTGCTGACGGGCATCCAAAATAATGGTCGATCCCTTATCTCAGCGGCTAAAGCCAACCAACTAAATTGTGCCAATCGCCGGTGCATGCTATGGCGGCTAATGTGTACAGGTGTCAGCTTGGCAAGGCTCCTGATTACCCAGCTGTGTCAAATGTGTCAAATGATCCGCCTATTTTCTCGATGACGCTTGACCACTGCGCCGCGCCAGTGGAATCATTTCGCTCCCGATGCGGCGTGTTGAACGGTGATTGCATGCACTCCTAACGACCCGTGGCCCCTGTCAGTATTTAAAGGGCAGGAGGATCATCATGGAAGGACGAGGGAGATGTGCAACGAAGAGGAGGGTGCAGGAAGCGGCGGCACTGCCGCCCAGGGGTGGATGCCGACGGGCTGGGAGGGCTGGTGGGGAGGAGAAAAAAGATTGGACATCCCAACGGGACCCCAAAACCACACATGAACACGCCGCCGGCACCAGGGAGCACCTAACCAACCGTGGTCAACGTCTTGCCATACTGATATTCCTCCAAAATACGAAATTTCTTTTGGATCCACTTGCTGTGTTCGGGGGAATCGGTCAACGAACCGAACCCGCTCAATATCCGTAGAGTACAAGCGAGAATGAGGACTTCCTCCTAGCGCTGTCGATACCCAAGCGGATGAAACGATATATGTGGAGAGGAGATGCGATTGCGCCGCAGAGCCTTCTTGGGCGGCTGGAGAGGACTCCACAAACGTCCCCCGCGGTCTTAGCTTGCAAGGTGGCTCCCTGGCGCGACCCCTGAAACAAACTACCCTGCGACCCCTCGGGGTCTGCATCTGGCTACTACACCCGAGCGTTCCTGCCCCTCCCTGTAGCAATATTCAAAGGATGGTTCGACATTGGGCCACCGAGTCGTACGCGTCTTCCCGCGGCAACCCTTTGGTGCGCCCACCGTGGCATACTACAAACATGCAGCATCGGCATGTGTGAAACAGGCGAAGAAGATGTCCCACGGGCAGCGGAAAACTCGGCCTTCTCCCCGCTCGGGCCAAGACGAGACCTTCTTCCTGGGGCCCTGCGCAAGCGGCGAGCTCCTTCGGCAACAACGCGTCCCCGTCCGCTGGCAAAGGGCCTGGCGGCCCCAAGAGGAGGACGAGGAGGAGGAGGACGAGCATGGCAATGGCTAACTGCCTCACTGCTGAAAGCTTGCTTGCCACCGTGTCAGGGCGGACTCTCGCGCAGCTTCCCCTCGCCTGCACGCGCGACACGAATATGAATTCGACAACGGTTTCACGGTTTACAAACACACATGCACACACTCACACACAAACACACACACATACACACCCGTGCATAACAACGCGTACAACCATCGCGCGCGCTTCGCGCGCACTCAAGTTCTAGCTAGGGTCATGATCATTGTCATCATTGTCATCCTCATCCCCGTCATCTTCATCGTCATCGTCATGGTCATGATCACCTTCACGATCACCATCACAACAATCATCATGATCACCATTACCATCAACATCGTGATCACCATCGCCATGATCGCCATTGTACTTTTCAACATCATCATCCGCATCATCAACATCTTGTTGGTCGTCGTCGGCGTCGTCGTCGGCATAGTCATCGTCATCGTCATCAGCGTCATCGCCGTCATCATCCCTTGTCCACTGCAGTCCCCTTACCCTCCTCCTCTTCCCGTTCTCCCTCTTCCCATCATCTTATACATTATACACATCAATTTCCTCGTCGGCGTCTCTCCCTGAAAGGGATCCCTGCTCCTTCACCTTCTCCTCCTCCTCTTCCTCCTCCTTCTCCTCCTCCTCCCTGTCTTCCCCGCTCTTCGGTGTACCCTCTTCATCCTGCGCTCCCCTTCCCTCCTCGTCCTCGGCATCCCCCCCGAGCCAGATAATCAGATAACAAGATGATCTTACAAGAACAATATCCCTCCTCCTCTTCCCCCTCTCCGTCCTCCTGATCTTCCTCCTCCTCCTCCTCCTGCTCCTCCTCCTCCTCCTCCTCCTCCTCCTCCTGCTGAGCTCGGCCTGAGGCGCCACAAAGTCTATGACGCTTCAGGCCTCCTCCTCCTCCTCTCCCACCTCCTCCTGCTCTTCCTCCTCCTCCTGCTCCTCCTGCTCCTCCTCCTTCTCCTCCTCCTTGTCCTCCTCCTTGTCCTCCTCCTCCTCCTCCTCCTCCTCCTCCTCCTCCTTTCTCTCAACGCACCCAGTACACGGGTGCCTACTGAAACGCGTGTCGCGAGCCTTTTTGGAAGCATTGTGGCAGTCTCTGGAGCCTCTCCAGGCCTTCTTTGGGGTCCCTTGGGCCTTTGTTGGCCCGTCTGAAGGCCCATTTCGGCAATTCTGGGTCCCGCTTGGCTCGTCGTGGGGAGCTCAGCCCGTCTTGGGGCCTTCGTGGGGCACTCTCCGACCATGTAGGAATCCTCTGGTGGCCTCCTCGGGTTTCCTGGGGGCGCTCTTGGGCCGTCTTGTAGCTATTCTGTGCCGCTTGAAGCTCTTTTCAGCCCGTGGTGGAACCCTCTTTGGGGCCTCCGGGGTCGTCCGGGGCCCACTTTGGTAACCTCTTGGGCCGTCGCGACCGCCGGTAGAACTGAAAACGAAGCTCCCATAACTATACGTTTTTGCATGGTAAATGTTTGATTCTTGCCTTTGGAAGGCCTTCTCAGCGGCCTCTTGAACAGTCGTGTGTGGGGGGGTCATGTTGGGCCTTTTGTGGCCTGTCTGGGAGCCCATTTCGGCTGTCCCAAGGCCCTTTTGCCATATCATAAGTAACTGAGCCGTCTTGGGGCCCTCATGGAGCCCCCTCCGACCATGTAAGGATCCTCTGGTGGCTCCCTCGGGCTCCCTGGGGACCCTCTCGGGCTGTTTTGGAGCTCTCTTGTGCTGCTCGACGCTCTCTTGAGGCTGTCTTGGAGCCGTCTTGGGGGCCTCGTGGACCGTGTGGCGCCGATGGAACAGAAGAAACGAATCTCATTGAAATGTACGTTTTTCCATCGGACATGTTTGTTTTTGAACGCGGAGGCCTTCTCAGCGGCCTTCTGGACCGTCTTCAGGGTGTCCTGGTAAGCCTTTTTTTGGACCCTCTGGGAACCCAGTTCGGCCGTTCTGGGTCCCCCTCCGCCCGTTATGGGGGCCTGAACCCGTCTTGGGGCCCTCGGGGGGCCCTCTCCATCCATGTAGGAATCCTCCGGTGGCCCCCTCGGGGTTCCTGGGTACTCTCTTGGGCCGTGTTAGAACTCTCCTGTGCTGCTTGAAGCTCTCTTCAAGCCGTCTGGGGGCCCTCTTGGAGGCCTCTTGGGCCGTGTAGACCCAATGTTGCAAAGCCGGGTCGTAATGCAATAATAACCGCGAGGTTGTATGTCAGCAAAGATACAGCAATGATATCAATCAGATCCGCAATGGACGGCGAAAGATGGCTGCTTAGCGGAACCCGCGAAGGCCCCTGCCGATACGCCCAAGCTCAAGGGCCCTGGAGCCCAAATGGATACGAAAGGACATGTTGCCTCTCGCCTGAATATTAGCACGCCCTGCTTGCTTGCTGGCATGTTATGCTACACTGCTTACAGATCAGCAAGGACACTATATCTTTCACACCCGTGCACGATTATTATGATCTGTGCGCCTCTGGTCTTAGATCGTTGGGACATGTCAGATCTCACGTCAACCAACTAAGCTGGAACCGAACGCCTGCTGCGCTCCATCCTGAAACCAGGCGTATGGCGCGCTTGAAAATCGAGCAGGCACTGTTCATATGTGCCTCGTGCTCTCGGGCCTGGTCGGTTGGCTCTTGATGCTGCAATGCAAGGCGTGTGTCTCGCAGCACTGCGCTGATGGCACTGCCGTCAGATCGCTTGGTGAACTGATATCCGAGCTGCTGGTCGGTCGGAAACCAAAAGAGAGGCAGCTGGCTGCGCTGATCGTCGGCGACGAATTCGTTACTTATTTCCCCTTCTAGTCACTCCGTGAGGCCAACTAGGTCCAGCAAAAGGCGCCGCTCCGACGGAAGCTTGGAATAACCGTCTTTGCACATCGTATCGTACAAACTAGCGCAATCTGTGACCTGAGCAATCGGCAGCAAACTCGGGGGAATTTCTTCTGGATGAGCATCCGGTACTCAAGCGAAGCGAAAACGCAGCGTGTGATCTGCGCACAGCCTAATGGGTCTACAGCTGACATCGTCCCAGCTGCCAAAATAAACTTGCACACCCTCTTGATGGTGCCTAATCGCCAGTCAACGATTCCCGCTCGCGCATTGTCGCCGCGCAACAGCTTGGCCTCGGCGATAAACGTCGCGTAGCCGGCCTGTGAGCGGATCTTGATATTCTTGTCCTTGCTGTCCACGATCTTCGGGAGTAGCGTAGTTATGACACCTTCAGGTGGCTCGTCAGCATTGGCCCAGCTGGCGTCGTGGTACGTGACCAGGCAGAGCGGTCCACGTAGCTTCGGGACTTCCAGTCCCACGTCCGCGTGCCTCCGCGCCAGCTTGATGGGCCGATTCGTCTCGAGCAGGTCCTGGGTGGGGAGCTTGTTCTGGGTGCGCTGTCACATGGCTACTCCAGCTGACAGGTCTGGTCGAGTCTGCGATGAAAAAACATCCAAGCGCTCCGAGGGCGGAGCGGTTGTCCGAAAACTCGGCTGGCGTCGCCTCCACCGACAGCTCCGTCTTGCGTTCCTTTCTGAGCGCGATCTCCTCGATCGTGTTCGCGCACTCTGTCTGGCGCAGGAGTAGGACGCCCTTCTCATGGCGCCGCGCCTTCTTGCAACAAAAGGGGAATGGCAACCCCCTCCAGTCGCCCCACGGCAGGAGCTTGTAGAGCTGGTCGTACAAGGTCGGGTACTTGGGCGAGACGCCCAACAGCAGGTCGTCCACGTGGGCGACCACCAACGCGCACAACCTCCCTTGCTTGCCGTAGCCGTAGTACAGCGCTGGATCTAGCGAATGCTAGCGAAGTCGGAACACGTAGTCACCTAGCCTCTCCTCCACCGCAAGCAAGGTCTTGTTGAGCTTAGCCCACCACTGTCGCGGTGCGGTGGCTAGCCCGAAGACTCCCTTGAGGATATTGATCAACTGCTTCGGGTGCAACCAGGGTAAGCCCTCGGGGGGCTGAGCCATGTGCAACTGCTGGTCGGGCTGCTCGTCGCCTTGCATGAAAGCCACCTCCACGTCCGCTGCGTAAACCTCCAGGTCGAACGTCTGGCAGACGGTGAAGAACAGCACAGTCGAGGTGCGGGTGACCTCAGGCGCGTCTGTGCGCAGGTCGCCCTGAACGAGACGCGGGCCCATGTGGCGCCCGACGCAGAGTCGGGCCTTGGCCTTGACCTTCAGCGGGTGCATGTCGGTCCGCAGCGGCGCGTTCTTAGCCCAGTACACAAACCGGCTTGGCAAGATGAAGTTGGACTTGGCCCTGCCCCTGACCGCCTCGGACTCCTCGATGTTGAGCACCTGACAGGATCCGTACTTCTGCCACTCGCTCCACTGCTTGGCCGCCGCCTCTCGGTAGAGCTCCCTGTCGGAGTCCTTAATGGCCCTCCAGTGGATCTCCATGTCGGCTTGCTTGCGCTTGATCCTCTCGGTGACGATGGAGGTCTGCATCGCTTCTCTGGGAGCCGACCTCGAACGCTCTCTAGCGCTCTCCTGCTCGGATCCAGCCGCTGCTCCGCCGCCGGGCACGGCCGCCCGATCGCGCGAGGCTGTCCTCGGGGGCGGTCCTCCGGAGCCTGCGTGCTCTTTGGCGGTCTGCAGGCGCTTGAGGGCCGGGCCGAAGTCGCCGCTGTCCGTCCCGTCGAAGGTCGCTCGCCGTCGTCGGAACTCGACGGGACCGTAGGGCTTCTCCAAGGCTGAATGAGGTATGTCGGCTCGGTCGGCGGGCAGCACCTCGATCTGCTCCTGGGACTTCGGGTCCTCAGGAACGCCCAGCCTCAGGTCGTCGTTGTCTGGGCTGTCGATGAAAGCACGCCACGACTGCTCCATCTCGTCTGGCTGGACCTCGGGCTGGCCCGGCTCGGGGCGGATGTCCTCCACCGGGACCTCCTCCTGCTCGAGTGAGTCGCGAGCCCTGTTGAACTCGGCCACGGCCTGGCCGATCTCGCCCCGACCGTTCGGGAACCAGACGTCGTCCGGAGCGAGCGCCTTCATGTGCTCCGGGGCCGCCAGCACGGTGTGCCCTCCCAGCGAGACCCAGGTGTTGTTGCCCTGGTGACCGATGACCACGCACGGCCCCCGCCAGATGCCCTTCTTGGCGTCGCGGTTGTGCTGCTCCTTTTCTTCTTGACTTGGGGGAACATGTAGCACATCTCGCCCACTGACAAGGGTGTGGCCACGGTGCGCGCGAGCCAGCATAGCTCGTCTGAGCTGGTCGTCGTTCTGCATCCGCATGAACGACTCGCGCGCCGCCGTCCGAATAGCATATCGGCGGCGAATATTCTCGCCGTTGGTGGCGAGACTGCGGGCACTGTAGTTGGCCGCGTCGTCCACCAGGTCGGCGGGCATCTCGGGATCGCATCCCAACACCCACTGCGCGGGGCTGAAGCCGGCCCGCCTCCTCAGCGAGTTCTTGGCGCCGGACGCCATGATGCCCGGCGTCCGCATCTCGTCCTCGCCCCTGATCGACGAGTGCTCGATCGTCCTTGCAGCGAGCTCCTTCCACCAGGCTCCCTGACGTTCCACTCGGCCGCGCTTCCAGTGGGCCTGTCCCGCGATAGGTAGCTGCACCGCGTCGGAAGACTGGAACATCTCGCTGAGAACGCCGCCGAACCCCCTCCCCATGTCGAAATGGACTCGGTCTGGGACGCCGGCCCAGGAGGCCCAGCACCTCTCGAAGGCCGTAGCGAACTCCTGGCTGGTGTGGCGACCGATCAGCGTCGCGACGTGGAACGTAGTGGCCAAGTCGACGATGCTGAAGTACCAGTAGCTCTTGCCGTCGACGTCCTTGAGCTCGAAGCAATCGATGCCCACGCCGTCGTCGAAATCTTGCACAAAGTGTAGGTGCGCTGGTCTCCTTGCGCTCGGGCGCTGCCGCGAGCGACGCACTCCGCAGATCAGCCCCTTGACGGCCTGCACGGTGGCCGACTTAGCGCCCTTGAGTCGCAGACTGCGGCCCAAGTCTTCATTCGACGGATGGCCCAAGTGGACGTGGAGTCTCTTGAGCGCGGCCAGCTCGGCTGGCTTGCAGCAGGCTGCTACAATCTCTGTGAAAGTGACCGCGCCGACCCCGATCCTGCCGTCCACAGTCTCGTCGGCCTTCACGTCGTGAGTGTCGGCGAAGTCGCCTCCGCCGCCCATGGGGCCTGGGTCCCCAATGAGCTCGCCCGTCTCTCCCAGGGGCGCGGTGGCGCGAGGCCCACCCTGCCGGCGAATGATCTGCTCGACGATGCACACCGCCGCTCGGCAGAACTTGGCTGGATCAACGCCAGACTTCCGCACCGCCACGTTGTTCCCGAACGCATGGTCGTGGCGTGTGTGTGTGTGTGTGTGTGGCTGCAGGTGCGGCGTAGCCGCTCGAACTCCTTGTGGGTGACGAGAAGCTTGGCGGGGTGCTTGACGAGCCCCCCCGTCTTGTAGTGTCGAGCCCCGTGCTCGCGCATATCGCACATCGCACCTCACCTGGTACACGCGCTTGTCGGCAAGTAGCTTCATCATGATGCGCTGTGTCCAGATCCGGCTGGTGGCCGGTTTCTCGATCATGGCGACGCCGCCTGAATCGAGCTGAGACTGGAAGAGGTCGCGGGCCACGAGAAGGAATGGCAGCTCCGCGCGCCACAATCGCCGCAGTGCCTGCTTGCCCTGCGGCGCGCGGAAGTTGAGGCGCGCAATGTTCGCGTAGTAGACGCAGGGTAGCCCGATCGACGCGGACTTCGGCCTCGATGCGTAGCACCGCTCGTGCGTCATCTCGAGGTCCTTGTGCTTGCGGAGGTCCCAGCCGTACTTGCGGTCGATCACCTCCGTGGCTGTCGCGTTGCGGCGCACTGCCGCCTCGGCAATACCGCCTTCGTCTCCGACTACCTGCATGACGTCCACGCCGTGGCCCCGGACGGTGTAGATCTCCTTGGCGTTCCTCGCGTGGACCGCCACGTCCTGCGCGGCGCTCGTCGCATGCTGAGCGAACGGCTTGTGAGGTTGGGACAGCCAGTTCGCCGCGAGCACCGCCTGAAACGCGAAGGCGCTCAGCAAGCCCGTGACCTGGTAGAGTAGGCCGACGCGCTTGCCCTTCTTGATGCCTGGCCGCCGGCCCGAAACTGGCGGCTGGTCCTGGCGGCTGCCGCCGCCCAGGCCTTGTCGCGCGGAGACGCCGCGTCCGTCTCCTGGTCGGTCTCGCCCGCCTTCTGGAAGCCGTGGTCGCCGGTGTCCATCTTGTGCTCCTCGACCGGCCTCGGGCGGCGGTGGCCCGTCCAGCTGCCTTGACTTGCTGAGGCGCGCTGGACCGTCGCCGTCAGCGTCACCGACTCGTCGTCCAGGACCACCTCCTCGGCCAACACCTCCTGGATGGTGGTCTTGAGGTTATCTGGCTCGAGCGGCCTCACCCCGTGACTTGACCCGCCTGCCGAAGCGCGCCAGGAGCGGGCTCGCTCGGCCGTTGTCCAGCTCCAGCACCTCTCGCCGCGCGTAACCCAAGTCGCCATGTCGCTCCCCGTGATCTGCAAGCTTGGATAGGCCACGTTGCTCGAGGCGCCGCCGACCGCGTTCTCGACCTTCCAACTCTTCAGGCGCTGCCTGAACTCCAGCACGGTCGTGTGCTGGTCGAAATCGATGCCTTTCATCCTGCGCTACTCCTGGAGCTCGTGCTTGCGCATCTTGCCGAGCCCGGGGATGTCCCGCGCCTTCTTGTCTTGGCCCTCGGCCCCGGCCCTCAGCGCGCGCAGGATGACGCGGAGCTGGTCGCACGTCGCGTCGCGCGCATCCAACTCGTAGCTTGCCACCTCCGCCTCCTCCGCCTGTAGGTCCCCCATCCGCATGCTGGAGATCGCCGGCAGGCGGGAAAAACTCGGCGTCGGCGCACTCGAGCAGCTGACCTCCGGGTTCGTCGCCCTGGGAGATCTCATGCATTTCCGCTGCGACGGGGGCATGAACTCCGGCCGTTTTTTCGCGAGAAGCTGCGGTGGCTGGATCTGCCACGCCACGCGTCGTAAAAGCTGTTGGAGCCCGAGATGAACTCGAGCCAGATGGCTGTGGTGGTGATGTGGTTAAATGACCCCGTGCTGATGGCTGATCTCGTTGCTCGCTACCGCTTGCTTGCTGCTGATATCGGACACGACGTGGCTGAGGGGTGCTGTCTGGTTTAGCTCCTCGTCCTGTGTGATCGGTTTGCATGATCTGTGCTGTGCTGGCGAACGTAGGAACGACCCCACCTGCCTCATCCTCCGACCCCGATGATGACTGACGCGATGGAATGTATGCGCGCATGACCTGGCGCACCTGCTGCTCGAACAGCTCAGCGCTGTCGAGCTCGTCACAGTCAGCATCCGACTGAGACTCGTCGGCCTCCGAGGCGACCCCTTGGTCGCAAAACTCGGGCGCTGCCGGCTTGGCGGCGCTGGCCACGGCTGTCTCAGCGTGGTAAGTCGAAGAAAGATGCAGCCGGATCTCGGTCTCGGTGTCCGAGACGTCCGACACTGGCATGTAGCTTGGCTTGAAGCCCGTGGTCTCGAGCGTCGATTGTCTGGCGCGGTTCAAACCCATCTGGGTGCCGTGCTCGTTGACGGACTTGACGTCCAACTTGTTGTCCCCTGCGCGGTAGACCACGTCCAGCTCGCCCTGGGCCCGGCGGCTGAACAATCCAGGCACGGCGCTGCGCGCGATGCTCATGCGCACGGTGAAGGCCTTGCCGTGCACCGAGCAGGGAATCAGCGCCGCCTTGACTGCGTACACCACCTTGGATGCTCCGAAGCGGAACGGCTCCTTCTCCAGGTACTCGATCGGCTGGATGTTGAAGGCCCCGGGCTCCTGCGCGTCGCCGGCCCCGTCGTTCGTGATCACATTCGTCTTGTGACTTCCCTTTCGCGGGATGTCGACCCTCGCGTTGGGGTCGTTCTTCTGGGAGCACTGCGGGTCGCCGCGCCAGTGGCCCTTCTGGCCGCAAGCTCCACGGTGCGTCCTCGCCTTCATCTTGGCGACCTTGGCATCGTCCTTCTTCGGCGGATGCCCGCCGTCTCGCATGGCGAAGTATCCGCGCGCCTGCCTGACCTCCTTCAGCTTGTCCTTGGCGCGCACCATCTTCTTAGTGAAGAAAGCCACCTGCCCCTCCGCCTCGTCTATCACGTCCTGCAGCTGCAAGTCGTCGTCGTAGTCCTCGGAGCTGTCGGTGGACGCGCCGTCGTTCTCGGCCTAGTCATGGACCTCCGTGGCGCGCGCCTTCTTGCGGTCCTTCTTGTGACCTCCGTAGCCGCCTTTGTTGTGGTGATGCTCTCTGTTGCCGTCCACGACCGATACTTTGGGCAATTTGATCATGGGCTGCCCCTGGATCTTCGTCGGATTGAACTTGTTGCCCACGCCGTTGAGCACGCTCGCCGCGCGCTCTGGTGGCAGGCGGGCGCCCGTGATGCACAGGTCGGCCAAGACCTCGTCGGGCACCTGGATATCCTTAGTTCCCCTTCATCGCTATGCTGTTGAAGCGATTGTTGAAATCGCGGGTCTCCTCAAACTTGCGCCGGACGCGCGCCGGCTTCGCGAATGTCTCCAAGGACGCCGGTAACTCCGATACTTCGATCTCGGGAAAGCGCTTCCCGAGGTACTCCAAGAAAACCTCCGCCGAGCCGTCGCCCTTGATGGTCTCTAGGTCGGGCTCCTCGCGCGCCTCCTCGACCTTGCCCTTGAGGCTGGCCAACAGCGTCGCGCCCTGCTTAGGCAGCTTGACCTCGGTGCCAATCTGCCAGGTGGCGACTTCTCGGCGGAACTTCTTCATCGTCTTGTTCGTGCCGTCCAAGACGGGCACGGGAATCTTGCCCCCGCTGTTCTTGTCCTCGCCGCTGGCTGCAGCGGCTCCTCCAGTAGTCGCCATGGCGGCAACTCCGAATGAGGGGTGTCGATCATCACCGTCAACTCCGAATAAGAAGTGTCAATCACCGTCACCTCCGAATGAGAGGTGTCAGTCGCAATAGTCGCAACCACGAGCTCGTAGGTGCCTTTATTGACTCTGCGAAGTCGCGCACGTTGCCGTGGTCTGAGTTAGCTCCTGCTACCAATGTAGACCCAATGCTGCAAAGCCGGGTCGTAGTGCAATATTAACCGCGAGGTTGTATGTCAGCAAATATACAGCAATGATAACAATAAGATCAGCAATGGATGGCGAAAGATGGTTGCTTAGCGGAACCCGCGATGGCCCCTACCGATACGCCCAAGCTCAAGGACCCTGGAGCCCACATGGATACGAAAGGACATGTTACCTCTCGCGTGCATATGAGCACGCTCTGCTTGCTTGCTGGCATGCTATGCTACAGAGCTTACATATCAGCACGGACACTGTATATTTCACAGGCCGTCTGGGGCTTATTTTGGGAGCCTCTGGGGCCGTCGCGGCCGCTGGTAGGTCTGAAAAGCAAATCCGCTGGCCCCCTTGCGGGGCCACCAGGCTGTAAGCCGAGGTTTGCTGTTCCCTGTGCCAGTTCCAGCTTCCAGCTTCCATTGTTACAATTCTGCGTCTTGCTGCTTACTGTTCCTTGTTGATGGACCGCGCGAGGGGGGAAGCCGAGAAGGAACCTAGTTACCACGCCCGAGTCGCGTGTTCTGAATTCCTGGGGGGGAGGGGGGGCGTGGGACACGTAAAAATAAATGCATTTCGCGTCCACGGGGCCATAAGCCTTCGCACATTACGCAATAATCGCGTCCCCGAAGCCATAGATCCTTGTGAATTCCGCAATATTCGCGCCCCCGAAAGCATAAACCCTTGCAAATCACGCCATATCTGTGTCCCCGAAGCAATACACCTTAGTAAATTACCCAATGCCGGCGTCCCCGAGGCCACAAACGCTCGTAAATCATGCGATGCTCGCGTCCCCGAAGCCATAAACGCTAGTAGACTACCGATATTCGCGTCTCCGGAGCCATACACCTGCGTAAATGACGCAACACTTGCGACCCCGAAGCCACGAACCCTCGTACATTCCGCGATAATCGCGTGTCCGAAGCCATACACCCTCGTAAATTACAAAATGTTCGCGTCTCCAAAACCATAAACCTGCATACGTAACATTATATTTGCTAGCCCGAAGCCATACACCACGTAAATAACGCGCCATTCGCGTATCCGAAGCCATAAACCCTCGAAGTACAACTAGGAATTCAACAAGATCATCATAATATCAACTTGTCTTGTCGATTACTCATCATCTTCGCGTGAAGTCCCGACGCTGCTTCACGGCGGCGCCAAGAGGGGGCCGGCGGCGGGGGGCGAAGCCCTTACGGATATCCAGGACATACATGTTTGTCCATATGAAATGCTTGATGTTTGCCCTTGGAGGGCCTTTTCTGCGGCCTCCTGGACAGTCTTGAGTGCCTTTGTGGCCGTCTAGGAGCAATCTTGGGCTGTCTTCGAACTCTCGTGGCTCGTCTGGAAGCCCTCTCAGCGCGCTCTTCAGCCACCTTCCAGACAACCTGGGGCGCTCTGGACGCCTCTTGGGCCAGCTTGGGAGCCTCTGGGGTGGGGGGGTCGGGGGCCCCTTCTGAACCCTCTTAGAGCCCTCAAAGCCCCCCCCGGCCCCCCATACGAACCACAGGCAGCAGTTCTGGCCCCTCCCCCCGGCCTACTCCAATAGTTATATATACACAAATATCTATGTATGTGTACACATATATATATATATATATACTAGAACCACGCGCGCGCTTCGCGCGCGCCTACGTTCTACTCGACTCCGAAGACGTTGTCAGTGGGCATTGTGTGCATCCCTGGATGCAGCTGCGCCACGGCTCCCTTTCCCGCTTGGTTGATGGCCTCCGGGGTTTCCTGGGGGCCTGTAGGGTCCCTCTCCCGAAGCCGTCTCCTGGGTTGCCTCCTCCCCGTCCTCCTGCGCCGTCCGTGGAAACTTTCTGACAGGCCTTCTTATGCTTTCATGCTTCGTGAAGTGTTGGGGCGACAATCATCATCATCAGCAGCATAATCATCATAATCATGGTGGCCATCATGGTGATATTAATTGTCATGATCAGTATTACCATCAACAACCAAATCATCTCCGATCCTCCGTATTGACAGAGATAAGAGCAATTAAGATACGAACCAACTCATCATTTCCAGCTTCAGCATCACCATCATCACCATGATCATCATGAGCATCGTAGCGAACATCATCATCATCATCATCATGATCATCATCATCTTCATCATCGTCATCGTCGTCATCATCATACTCGTCATCATCATCTCATCATTAGCATGGTCAGCATCACCACCATCACCAAAATCATCATCCGCATCGGCATCATCATCATGCTCATAATCACCATCGTCATCCCCGTAATCATTAGCATCATCGTTATCATCATATGGACCACCCGTGCCAGAATGGCGTTTCCGAACGAGGCCTTTCGGAAGCATTGTTTGGGGGGGGGGGCAGAAGCCTGATGAATCAAGTTCCGGGAAACCCTCCTGGGAACATGTGTGGTTTGGGGTCTCGGGGGGCCTTTTCGGGTTTCCCTGGGAGCTTTTTGGGGACCTCTTTGGGCTATCTGAGGTCCTCTTGGGTGCCTCACGGGGCTTCTGGGGAGCCTCTGGATGGCCTTCGGGGGCTTCTCGGGGGCCTCTGAAGCCGGAGACTGCGAAATG